ATTGGCCTTTAAACAAATCAAAACCTGCTTAAATGGAACAACGTTTGGGTCAGTAGCACCATCTTTTAAATAGTTCACAACTTTTTTTCACCATTTAACTCAGAGCAGGGTGGGGGGACAGGTATACCACCAGGACACAAAAGCCTAAGCCCCACAACCCAAGACAAAATCCACAAAACTCGAAATGCCAGCAAGGTAATACATCTTGGAGAGTAATCAATCCACGCAACAGGCTTTTTTAAAAGACAAATGATTACAGTATCCTAGGGAGGGATGAGGGGAAGAGAGGTTACATAGGAGCATTTCTTCTCTGACCTGCAATGGGCATTTTATTCTCGCCGAGGCTACCTGTTTTATGAGGTCTGTCAAATGCAATACAGCTTTCTCCTTCATCACCTCATGATTTTTAGGAAAATAGGCCTGAGACCTCTACCACTGTTCCAAGTCATCCATAGGCAACAAGTGACTGATACTCCAGTCTACAGGGCTCCATCCAACAGGACTGCCAGGCTAGCCCAGAGAGATCCAGGATCCTGACTGATAATTTGATCTCTTAAAACACAAGGGACACTAGCTGCATAATGGAGAGAATGTTAGTCTAGGTTTTAAGAAAAGCTTAAGCGTTTTCTCTTCCTGGACATAAACCAACATTGCATGATTGTCAAGCCTGGATATGAGGCAGCAGCACCAGAAACCCGATTGCTTGCATCGTGACACATTTACCAACATCAAATAGTCTTTCCTCTTTCCCTCTAGCAAGGGAGTTTTTAGACAGAACACAGAAACCCTAAGAGAAAGAAAGTATGATAGTTATCTTGCAGTTGATCTTACAGTACAGGAAAACAAAGGACAGACTGTTTCATTTTTTAAACCAGTGTTTTAAGTTTAGCTTTTTAGTCTCTGTTTAGAAATCTGAGGTCTGACTTCTGGAAAACACCAAGACAAGAAATACTGCCAGATTCAGTGTAAAACTTTGAAAACAAGCCTCTTATTTAAGTATCTTCTTTGACAAAGTTAAGTACCAATGGGGGAAAAAAAAAGTAACCTTTAGTTCTTTTTTTTCCTTTCTCCAAGAGAGTATATTAAGAGGACCTCAGCTAAGCGCAATAGGATAACTAAGTTGTCCACAAGTCCCCCAGTTCTCATTCTTCAGTTATTATGTCATTTACTTTAGCAGAAAGAGTCCCATGCTTTTTAAAAGTGCGGACAAAAAGTTGCAAGGCCAAAGGTAAGAAGGATAGAAACTCTTAACCTTAACGTTCTGCCAGGAGAGAATGCCTTTTCTTACTTAGTACTCTGGTGTAAAACACTTTTTCTGACCTATTTTTTCTCTGAGAGTACCAAAGTTTCATCATTCACCCAAAGTAACCATTTCACTGTAAGGGTGGTGGTGGTGGAGCAGTTCCAGAGAGACACAGTAGCAAGCAAAAAGCTCCTGTTTGGGTTTCCTGGCAGTTCTGTGTGCTGCTGAAGTTTTGTTTGGCCAAAAGATGGAAGTTGTCATTTCATGAAAACATTGCACCTTTTAAGTGGATGTGAGGCACAGCAATCACTGCAGCCACTCTGACAAAAGCAGAGTGGAGAAAGAGTGAAAACTGTACTCAAGGAACTAGTATGTTTTTAATGCTTTACTCGGCTTCTGAATCGAAGTAACAGAAAAAAGGGATTTAATTAGTCTCATAAAGCTCTATTAAAAAAATTGAGAACAAAAAAAGATGAAACCAGATTGGCTGGGTAAACAATTGAGCCTTGACCTAATATTGCAACCTGCCTCATCTTCTGTTACGTTAAAAAGGAAAAAAGAAGTCCCGTTTTACTGTCTCTTATGGCATATAATACTATAATCTCTTAGTAAAAATAAACACCTACTAACATTTCTAACAAATTCTAATTCCTGGCATTTCATGTGAGTAAAACCATCCTTTGGGAAACTAAGCTCCTTTGCAAGTTCATGAATTTCAAAGTAAAAACTGGAGCTAACATCTTCATTTGCAATATGCAAAGGATAGGATCATATTTTAAAGCAGTACTTTTTCCTTTTTACAAATGTAGTTTTGCTTATATAGTTTTGCTTATTTGCAGGAGCATGCAGAGAAGGCTTCAAAATTATAAATTATCCTAGTTATAAGAGCTCTGCACCTTTTTGCATTGCAAGCCAGCCATAAAAATCACTCAGTTATTCCAAATAATATATACAAAAATACAACAAAGCCAGAGCAGTGAAATTTACTCTTGCAACAAAGCCAGTAAGAAACATGATATGAAGACATGCATTTATGAGACATACTAGACAGAAAGCGTGAGCTATTGTAGAGAAATGGAATGGGACACTTACACAGTGGCTCTCTCTCAGGGGGTCCTGATGGTTACTATGTTCTTAAACCATCTAGACAGAATAGCAGGCTGGGCAGAAGGGAGCCACATACAATCCACCAGATGACAATGCTACACAGTGTAGACACCAGCATAGCTAGGAGCCATCTAAAAAAGGGGTTGGAGGGGGAGGAAAAGATGAACAAAAATTCAAAAGCAAAAGCTATTGGTGCATTTCAGCTTGTTTCAAGTTCTTAAAAAGCATACTGCTCTATAACCTTTGCCAAGCATTTTCTTATTTTCTATGACTGTAACAATCCATGCAACCATAAATTGCTAAATGTAGTATCCACGTGTTGCTGCAATCAAAGCAAATTTTCTGAAATCCTCACTAAAGTAGTCTATTCCAAAGAAAGTCCGTATCACTCTCTTGAAAATAAGTGCATGCTGGAGCAGTACATCTCTGACCACTTGCTGCCATCTCTTACAGAGTTTGATCAGCCTGTATTCATACATCCTACTTCATAATCATATGTTTTACTACTAAAACATTAGACCAGAGCCAGATCAGTTTGTAGGAACAAACCATTTATGTAAATGCCCAGATGACAGGGTATATTACCTTCCTCTGTTCAAAGTAGCAAAAGCTAATTCATAATCCTTTGCCAAAGGTGCAGAATATTGCTAATTAGAACATATACAAAGTATCCATTCATCAAAGCATATAGAGTTTATACAACCAACTTCAATAAACATTAACAAACGTTATACACAACTCCCTTGCGACTTAAATGTAAGCGATGCCTCTAGATATCAAAGACTGTAATTGTCCCACTTCTGGTGCTTTTTTTTTTTTTTTTTCCCCTGTGAAATAAAACTACATAGAGAATTTAGAAGCTTATTTTTGTTTGCTTAGATAAAAATAATCAATTTCACTGCAGGATTAGTTTATTTTAACAGTCTGAACTAAAAGGGAAAAAGACTGACACTTCTTCTAGTACAGAAGACTTCTGACTCAGGTAGGGCAGCTAAATATTCCTAGCGATATTTTGGTTTAATGATAGTAACACACAGAATGTAAAAAGTTACATATTCATTTTTCACCAAATTATTTCAGTACAAGCTGCAAACCATACAAATAACTCAGGGGAACAGGAGGAGGGAAATTCCAACTCCCTATGCCACAATACACACTATAAAAAACAACTATAAGCTCTAGATCAATTATTTTAATTCTACAGAAGTACAAGCTAACTAGTTTTTATTAGAGCAGTCATGTTGCAGAATGCTTCATGAATGGAATAATATTTGAATAGTTGATAGGCTTTCTGCATACTGAGACAATGGCTGAACAGGTTAGCATACAGTCTACATTCATTCTATGGAACATACAATAAATTACATCTTTCCCAACCTTTCTTACATAACTTAAAGTACCTTTTATGAAAAAATATTATTAAGTGGAAACTAAGGCACTATGTGCCTTAGAAACTAATGTGCAAGGTAGTTGTTTTTTACTGTGCTATTTGAGGTAACTGAGGTGATGTGTTTGAGGTTTTTTTTAATGTCAGTTGGGGTACAGGCTTTGTTCTGAATCTGTTGTTTCTAATATCATCGCCTGTGTAAATGATGAACGAACAAAAGATAATCTTTTAAAACAAAAGCAGAATTCATACATAGCAATGTGTGAGGGTTTCCAAAGACATACTCCTTTACCTTCAGCACATTCTTACTACGTACCTCCCACTTATTCTAGAAGTCTGATGACACTGTTTGGTCTTAAAAAAAAAGAAAAAGAAAAAAAAAAAAAGGCCAGCAGCTAGTAGCATCATCTCCTACAGAAAGACAGCATAACAAAAGCCAAGTTGCCTTTGGTCTGTGACTCTGGTGCTGCGTTATTTGCAAAAATCTGACAGCCAGGGGTCACCATTCCTTTCCTAGCAATCAAATGAAATGCAGATATGTCTTGCAAGTCTTGCATTCTCTTTTAGTTTATTTAAGGGCAGACAGAAAGTTTTTTCTACCTACAGTTGCTGCAAGCTACAAGAGATGCAAAAGTGACTACGAACTTTCTTTTACAGGTGGTGTTTCAGTACTTGTCTAAAATAAAGAGACTAACATACCAGGTTCCCTGACAGAAATGCACTCCTTTTGAATTTACTTAATGAAATAGTGCTACTCCGTGCCTTCCAGATCTATCAGCCATTATCCCAAAGCCCACAGGATTTAGGGAAAGTTCCTCTCCAAGGAAAAGGAAATGAAAGGAAGCTAAAGATTATTCTTTCAACTCTTCTTCTTAGGTAGCCAACTTTACTTCAAAAAACAGCGCGTAACTTATTTCAGCCAATCAAACACCGTCATGTTCTTCCATTTTTATACTACCACAGGAAAGACAGGGAATGTTTGTGATTAAACTAAAAGTAAAGCATTCACAAATACTCAGGGAGCTTGTAAAGCGCAGACCACTGGAATCAAAAACAACACAGAAAACTAGAAATTGAGTAATGCAGTTCTTTAACCAAGTTCTCCTGCCTCCTTAGTGCTCACCAAGAAGAAATGGTGAATCTCATGCTTGTTTCAAATGAGTGAAAGCAGCCTTGGCAACAAACTTTTGGGGGCAAAGGGAAGCATGCATAAAGAAGAGGATAAAATTATTTCTGGCACTTACACATTCAGAACTGACTTACGTTAGTGGAGATGCAGTTGGAGCTTTTGCCTGCCTTCTACTTTTCAGAGCACGAAGCTTATCACCTTGTGTTACACAGTTTGTTTCATCTTCGTCACTGTACTGGATAAGTAGAGGTGGGGAACAGATAAACCAAGATAAAAATATAGACAGTTAGACATTTAAGAATTAACCTTATCCTAAATCTTAAAGTTAGAATTATCCCAACAGGAAAGTTTGCCAGCATAAAATCAAAGGAAATTCACTTGCATAAATACAATTGTGTTCTTTCCAGTTTCCTGTTTGCTGCTTTTAAGCCTGTAAACCATTAAGTGGTGTAATGAATTACATGCATCACATGCCTACCTTTAAAACAGTGGAAACACATTATCAAATCTTTGCTTAGGTACAGTACAATCTTCACTCAAGTACAGCATTTCCCTCCTTCACTTGCCTTTTTAAAACAGCAGTACCGTTTTTTTAGAAGGCAGCATTGAAAGGTATTATAGAAGTTGCAACTACTTAGAAACTAAAAATAGCAAAAAACCTTTCACCCCTTCCCTTTAAACACACACAGGGAAGTAATAGACAATCCAAAACAAAATTGGAGTGTTTTTGATTGCAAATCATGAGTACTTTTTTTGTTCTAATATTTACCTAAATACTAAAGTATGATAAGGATGCTCCTACTTCACCTGTGTACTGCACTTCATTTTTCATACTTGCTGTCCGTAACTTCCCCTCCCCCCATATCCCTTCATACAAAAAGGGCAAACAGAAAAAGAATCTGATTAACATAATTCTACTGTACCCACAGGTTTGTTCAGAACTTGACAGATTCTCAACAGCAGTTAAAATTTTTACAAAAGCACAATATTTGGATGGTTACCAGTTCAATGTCCTTCTGGATGGTTCTCCTGTTTCTCGTGTCATTAATTGAAATATCATCTACTCCTGACAGAATTCTTGTTACAGCAATTTTACGGTTTCCTTTCAACTTTGCACGGAAAATATCTCCTTCTGTCCAAAGTTCTGCCTGCTTGCTATCATAACACGGCAAAAAAAGCCCAAAACACAACAAATTAACACCAAAGATTATTAAGCGTACAATAAAAGAAGAAGAAAAAGACATCTAGCTCTATTTTTGAAATAATTTATAGTCAACCTACTTACTCCATCAGGAAGTGTTGCTGTGGTCCAATCACTGAACCAGGTCTATTTATTCTAATCCAGGCAATAGTTTCAGCAGCTGTCATCCGATAATGCTTCATAATGTAACAGGCAATAAGCGTTCCAGTTCGTCCAAGACCAGCTGTGTAAGACAAAAGAATGGCTTCTTTTATATACTGATCTTCATCTGGAATCTGCTGTAGCTACAAGACATTGTTACTTGAACAAGTAGTTACTTGCCTAGTTTATTAAACAAACCTGTTACTGATCAAACTTGGTTAAGTGCAACTCACTTTTTGTATTTTTTTTTCCATATACACATTTTTTTTGAGTGAGGTAAAGCCAGCAACTTTACAAACATCTGTAAGTCTATCTATCTTTATTTACCTATCTATCTATGAATGTGTATATAGGTATGAGAATGTTTTTATGTATGGGGTAAAACAGCTTGCTTTTTTCCAAAATTCTCAAAGCACCTTCTTGCAAATTGATCATACATTGCAACTGAAACCAGTTGCTCTTCCAATCCGTCCTCTAACTAATGTCTTACTTTAGTTACCAAGGGAAAAACAAATTTTGCAATAAGCAAGTCTGGGTACTAACCGACACAGGCAAAAAGTACTCCAGAATGAGGAGCCTTCTTTGCAATGGCCCTCAAAACAGTTCCTTCTTTACCTTGGGAAACATGAGAAGGAAAGGAGAACAGCTCCAGCTAAGCTCTCCTCGATAACCTGCTGTAAATGTCAAACCATACATCACCTTCTCTCACTTAACAAGCTACTGACCAACACCAATCTTCAGTATAGCCCAATGGTCACGACAACCACACAGCACTTTCCATGCCTTGCCCAGCTTTAAGAACAGGTTATTACAGTATTCTACTCTTTCTCACGAGTAAGAGCAGGCTGAGGAATGTAAGGTAGTCTACACACCATTAGTATGATAAATATTAAAGAACATCTTAATTTGAATGAAAACAAAGCAGTTGTACCACTGATATTCAATATTCAGGCGTAATCAATTAAATGATTACGATGCCCGAGTTTATCACCTCAGTGGAGAGTAAGAGTATGCACTTTGCTTCCCACAGTTAAGATGAAGTTTTTACCAATTCTTCCACTTCACAGTATAATCCTGTTAAACATGCAGCATATGGATGGCAGATCCAGGAACAAAAATGCAGTCTTTGCAGGTCCCAGGCAAATGGGTTAAGTCAATGGGTTCTCCTTCAGTCACAGGATTATCAGGTACGCTAGTCAGGCAAAGTTTGTGGAGAACAAATGTCTGATAGACTATTAAAGATGGTGTGAGAAGGGAAACATAGTTCCTCTAGAATGACAGAAAACTTTATACTAGCTGCATTGGGCTCTGAATATCTTTTCCTTGGCAGACTAACCCTGGAGGAACAGATATTCGGAGCATGCCCAATGTAGTATAAAGGTTTTCTGAGGGATAAAGATTTCTGTGGTTCTGGAAGAACACTCATACTTTATAAGGAATCTCCTCAAAAAGCTGCATTAATATTTTCAACAGTTTATGACTTGGTATACTTAACCGTGTATTTTCAGAAAGACCTATGAACCTTGCCAGGACTTCAAATTCCTGCTCAAAAGCATCCTTTGAAAGTGCTAGCACTTTCTAGCAGAAAGAGCTGTTAATATTGCCAAGCTCACTTTCCCCAACCTCATTCTTGGAAACAGCTGGGAAGATTTTTCTGGAACTTAAAAAAATCAGAAGATGAAGTGCAGAACAGAAGCATAGAAAGAATTTGTATGGAAAAGTTGCAGTCCGGCAGAGACGTTAATAACTAGATATAATGGAATTACAGTGCAAAATACCTCAGGAACTGTAACTATAAGCATCACTTGTAATATACATTTTTTACACTATACCTTTGCAATGAACGGCTATAACACCTTCAGCATTTTCACAAATATTTAGAAATGTTTTAACTATAGTATCACTAGGTGTGCTTCCATCAGCAAAGAAGAGGTCAAAATGCTCAAATCCAGCATCTGTAAATCGTTTGGCATCATACAATTTTTTGTTGAGGCGTATTATAGTGGTGACCTTATGTTTCCTGAAGTATGGGAAATAAGCCTCTGGAGCATGGTGGGGATAGCCTATTTGAAAAAAAAAGGAAAAAAAAAAGGAAGGAAGAGAGTAAGGCTCAAACTGCAGAAATAAACAAAGACTCAAAAACAAGTGATGAAAACACTTTCAAAATAGAACTCATGTTCAACATAAAGAAATAGACTAACCGAAAATGGAATTTTAACATAATCACCTTGGTTAAACCAAGCATTAAAATTTTACTGCCAGGGTTCTTATAAAAGAAAAAGAGCCAAGGAAAAAACACACTGTTTGAGGAACAATTTTTAAAGCTTGTTCTTACTGATAACAATCAACTAAGAAAGCAGTGGGCTTGTGTCCCCCACCTCCTTTTTTAAGCATACCATTTTCAATTTTACTTCTTGAATGAGGTCCACTGAAGGCAATGAATTTGTTTGGTATTATCCAGTTAAAATCTCCATTTTCTGCTCTCTGTCAAGAGAAAATGCTTGGTTTATCATTATCCCTGTATTTTCAGGCTTTTCCTTATTGTTTCAAAATACATGCTAGAGAGAAGTGATGTACAATTTTTGCCAAAGGAAGTTATGTTAGTCGCCTGCTTTCTGTTCCATCGGGAAGATGCCAGATGCTCTCAACCTCACTTTTCTTGCCTATGTTCTCCTCTTTATAAATTAGAGTTTTAGAACAACACAACTGATGCCCTTCAGATGAAGGCCAACTTCCCATTTTCAATTTTTATAGGTTTCTAAATTATGACCTTGGCCTTATCTCTGTTCACAATTTAAATCATGATTTTTTAGATTCTAAGAACACTTAATTTTCTTTTTACAGATAACTGGCAGCTTTGCATTTCTGAGACTGCATATAGTCAAGAGCTGTAGTCCTTCATTGTCACATTTGTTTCCCGTGCCCCAAAGTGAATTTTATAGGCTTGGAGTTTCCCAGCCCTGTTTCCTTCTTTACCTCAAAGAACGTTATTATACCTTTGCCATGTGTTCACAGATACATACTCCAATTGCTCTCCAGAATTCAGTTAGATTTGGACTTGTATGCCCTTGAGTTTCTCATCAAGACTGCTCAAGGACCTCTAAAAGGTGGTCAAACTCCCACTCCCCTATCACCTTCCAGGGCTTTAATAATAGTGGGAAAAAGTATTTATTTCCGTCTTGGTTTCTGCTTCCCCCCTCATGTTTGAGGCTGACTATGCTTAAATCTGAATTTTAATATTCTCTCTCTGACCACACACCTTTATTTAACAATCAAAGTTTAAAGAGACAAAACAGAAATGGAACCTAATACTACAAAAAAAATAGCACATATTATAAACAATCACCTTAGCATTAGTAACAGCAAACAAATCAGAAGATTGATACGGAATACTTACTTCATAATGCTCATATTCATTTACATCAAATGTATTGAAATCCAGGAAACCATATTGCAAAGCCTAAAATTCAGAACACAGCTTTTAACAAAGACAATGTCTTTTCAATGAGGACAGTTTATCACTCTTTTAGGTTACTGAAAGCCCCTTAATACCTGTTCTACTCTTTCGGAGAGATTTCTTCGTATATTTGAAAAAATACAGATCAACTGAGTCTTGGTTCAAAACAGATTTGTAAATTTTAATATAAGTGAAGTTAGACAAGCAAATCCACCCTTTTCTATTTTCATTGAAACACTACAAAGTTCCAGACTACAGAAGCATTCAGTCTTTTTATTACTGCTAGGAATACAAAGTAAAAAAGAGAAAAATAACTGGCAAAAATTATCTATTGAAATCATGAGTACATTCTGAAGTCTCCATTCAAGGACTGCAAATATTTTTGTGCATGAATGCTATTCGCTCTTATTATGATGCTAATATCTTCATTGATTTTAAATTGTTTGCAGACACACAGTCCTAAGCAGACACTAGTGTGGTCCCGACATTATCCACAACTGTTATATTTAATACTGTAAAAAAATTGTAAACATTTGGGTAACTGGCAGTTTACCCACTTGTTAAGTCAAGAAGCACAAACACGGATAATCCCATATCTCCAGATATTTAAAACACTATATTCTAATCTCCCTCTTTCATTGCATAATCTCCTGTAGTTTTCCCTGCTGTTCACCAGTACTAAGAATAGCAATTCACCATTCTTGGCACACAAGCAGCCTATGCCAAAACATCCAAAAAAGCTGAAAATCACAAATCTGCAAGAAGCTGGCTTCATCAGTAAAAACACCAGTATTTGGCAGAGACACCCATAATACAAAAGACAGCAGTAGGGTGGAGAGTTGCAGAATTCCCCATTTCACTACTCATACAGACTAAAAAGAATGCCTATAAATTCGCCTGTCCTTCAACGCCACGTTACTTCACCACGGTGTTGCTACAAACTGCTAGTTATGTTAATTTGTAGTTAAAAAAAAAAAAAGCACCTGCCTCCTAACATTTGTTCTATTTGTATTACAAAAGCAAAACCTGAAGTCATCAGCACATGCTGCAAATGCCTAAAAGTATCACTAACCAATTCAAAACCACTTTCAAAGGCTATATTCAGCCTAAAATGTAACACCAGGGGGGGCACATAATAAACCTATCACACAACTCTTAGAGATTAGAGGTGTGAATGACTGTCCTGAAAGATTACATAAATAAAACTCAAAATTCCCACTTCTAAATCTTCACTAGTTGATTACATAAGGTGTCAGTCGACTTCTATGGATGCTGTATCTAGAAGTTTTGCTACAATGCATAATACATAATAAGATAGGCAACAATCAGAAAATCTGCTACTGCAACAGCTCTAATTGGATCCTAGCTTCCTAAGCCGCCTTTTTCTGCTGGGCAATATTTAGCTGACCTTTTGCAATATGAAAAATACTGTTTTACTGACCTTGTTTATTGCATGAAAACAGTCCAGTAATGTCAGATGAAAACTGCAAGTACCAAAGGAAGCATCCCTATAAGATATGATGACCAAAATGGTAAAATTGCCCCATTTTAATCCAAGTGAAAGCAATTGAGGATATTTCTCTTAAACACCTTTAAAAATTGCTTCAAGATAATTACTATTATAGTGAAATAATTATGTCAAATGATTACTTAATTTCCCTCACCTTGCATCTTACAATAATAACAAAACGTAAAATAAGTATGTTAACAGATGATCGAAGAGTAAGATTACACTAGTTATATTTTTGGTAAAGCTGACGTTCAACTTCTGACATGGAACATTGAAACTGGCATGTTTCAGTGTTCATGTCAACAAAGAACAGACAACACAAACTCCTTGTGGCAAAAGCTAATGCCTAAATTAGTATCATATTCTAACATACACTCTCAGAACAATTTCTTCTGAAGTACACTTTAAAAAAGTCAGATTTTAATACACTGCAAGTTTTTTCTTCAAACTCAATTTAAAAGAAAAAAAGATGCTGCACACATGCATTCTATGTATACGTGAACAGCATCTTCTTACTAAAACTGTCAAGACACACATTTGTGTGTGTAGCTATATTAAAAGACTTTCCTTAAGATGCATAAAATAGTTTATGCTTAAACATGAGGAAAAATTGGTTTTCATTAAAACCTCTTCTTTCAACTACAATTTTTTAAATTCTGTTGATCCAAGAATGCCATGTTCTTAGTACGTGACCATTATTAGATGCCATAAGCACTGCAGAGTAACCATTCTACAGGAATACTGTAGTTAAGTCAAAAAATAAATTTAAACTGAATCTACATCAAAGAATATTATGTCTTGGCAGAATACCTTCTTTTGAGACCATGCAGCCCTCATCAGCAGAGAATCATTAATGTTTCAAAAAAGTAAAAAATACATTATGTTCAAATTTCAACTGAGAGGAGGAAGAACTTCTGAAGAACCTGGATGGCTGCCTCTACAATTTGTTTGTATCCTTTTCCTCCCTAATGAATCAGTGTGAAAGGTGGGGAAAAAAAATCAGCAGGAGAAGAAAGTAACAGAACCCCATTCAGGTAAAAGAGAGGACAGGTAAAGGTGACATTATAGTGGGTGTCTGTTGGGCCACCTGACCAGGAAGAACAAGTGGATCAGACCCTCTACAGACAGATAGGAGCAGCCTCACATTTGCAGGCCCTGGTCCTCATGGGGAACTTCAACCATTCCGGTATCTGTTGGAGGGACAACACAGCAGGACATAAGCAATCCAGGAGGTTCCTGCAATGAACTGGTGACAACTTCCTCCTCTGAGTGAGATGGAAGCCAATGAGGAACACTGCTCTGCTGGACCTCGTACTCACCAGCAAGGAGGTGTTCACCGGGGATGTGAAAGTCAAAGGAAGCCTTGGATGCAGTGACTATGAGAGGGTGGAGTTCAGGATCCTGAAGGCAGGGAGGAGGGTGAAAAGCAAGCTGACAACCCTGGACTTCAGGAGAGCAGACTTTGGCCTCTTCAAAGATCTACTTGGAAGAGTCTCATGAGATAAGGCCCTGGAGGGAAGAGGGGCCCAAGAAAGCTGGTTAATATTCAAGGATCACCCCCTTCAAGCTTAAGAGCAGTTCATCCCAATGAATATGAAGCAGGCAAAATGCCAGGAGGCCTGCATGGATGAACAAGGAACTCCTGGCCAAACTCAAACACAAAAGGAAGCATACAGGGGGTGGAAGCAAGGACAGGTAAACTGGGAGGAATATAGAGACATTGTCCGAGCACCCAGGGATGAAGTTAGGCAAGTTAAACCCCAAATGGAATTGAATCCGGCCAGGGATGTCAAAGAGAATATGAAGGGCTTCTATATAAGTACATAGGTGACAGAAGGAATACTAGGGAAGATGTGGGCCCATTGCTCAATGAGACAGGGGACCTGGTTACACAGGACACGGAAAAGGCTGAGGTACTGAATGTCTTCTTTGCTTCAGTCTTTACTAGCAAAACCACCTTTCAGGAATCCCAGGTCCCAGAAACCAGGGGGAAAGGCTGGACTAAGGAAGATGTACTCTTGGTGGAAGAGGATCAGGTCAGGGAATAGTTCTGCAAACGGGACATTCCCAGGTTCATGAGCCCTGATGGGATGCACCCATGAGTGCTGAGGGAGCTGGCTGATGTCACTGCAAGGCCACTCTCAATAATCTCTGATTGACTATGGCAACTGGGAGAAATGCCTGAAGACTGGAAGAAAGCAAATGTCACCCTCAACTTCAAGAAGGGCAAGACAAATCCCCAGGGAACTACAGGTCAGTCAGCGTCATCTCAATCCCCAGAGAGGTGAAGGAGCAGCTAATCCTGGAAACCATTTCCAGGCATATTACGGACAAGAAAATCACAAGGAGTAGTCAGCATGGATTCACCAAGGCAAAATCATGCTTGAGCGATTTGATAAACTTCTACAACGAAATGATTGGCCTGGTAGATGAGGGGAGAGCAGTGGGTATTTACCCGGACTTCTGTAAGGCCTTTGACATTACCTCCATAAGATACTCATAGACAAGCTAGTGATGTGTGGGCTGGTCGAGCAGACAGGTGGATTGACAGAGAGCTGAGTGCCTGGGCCCAAAGGGTGGTGGTCAGTGGCACAAAGTCTAGTTGGAGGCCAGGACTAGTGGTGTACTTCAGGGATCAATACTGCGTTTGATCCTGTTCAACATCTTCATTAATGATCTGGATGAAGAGGCAGAGAGAGTTCCCTCAGCAAGTTTGCTGATGACACAAAACTGGGAACAGTGGCTGATATGCCAGAGGGTCGTGCTGCCATCCAGAGGAACCTTGACAAGCTGGAGAAATGGGCTGACAGAAGCCTCATGAAGTTCAACAAGGAGAATATAAGTCCTGCACCTGGGGAGGAACAACCCCAGGCACCAGTACAGGCTAAGGGCTGCCCAGCTGGAAAACAGCTTTGCTGAAAAGGACCTGGGGGTCCTGGTGGACACCAAGTTGAACATGATTCAGCAATGTGCCCTGTGACAAAGAAGGCTAATGGTATCCTGGACTGCATTAGACAAAGTATTGCCAGCAGGTCGAGGGCAGTGATCCTTCCTCTCTCCTCAGCACTAGTGAGGCCACACCTGGAGTACTGTGCCCAGTTCTGGGCTCCTCAGTGCAAGAGAGATATGGACATACTGGAGAGAGTCCAGCAAAGGGCTACAAAGATGATTAAGGGACTGGAGCATCTCATATAGAAGGAAAGGCTGAGAGAGCTGGGACTGTTCAGCCTGGAGAAGAGAAAGGTCAGGGGGGACCTTATCAATGTGTTTAAATACCTGAAGGGAAGGTGCAAAGAAGACAGAGGCAGGCTCTTTTCAGTGGTGCTCAGTGACAGCACAAGAGGCAGTGGGCACAAACTGAAACACAGGAGGTTCCCTCTGAACATCAGGAACCATTTTTTCACTCTGAGTGTGACTGAACAGGTTGCCCTGAGAGGCTGTGGAGTCTCCATATGTGGAGACATTCAAAAGCCATCTGGATGTGGTCCTGGGCAACCGGCTCTAGGTGGTCCTGCTTGAGCAGGGATGTTGGACCAGATGACCTCCAGAGGTCCCTTCCAACTTTACTGGGATTCTGTGATTCTATAAGTGAAAAAAGAAATTCTCTGCAGCCTCCTAACAAAAGTTTTTGTGTTGCTAATGACCCTAAGTAGCAACTACCTGACTGACTCTTTATTATTCCATGGGAAGGTACTGTTTTTTGCAGAGACGAAGATCTTAAAGGAACAGAGCCCAGACCAACATCTCAGTTAATCATTAATGTAATCTGAATTCCTCTATTTGCACCAGGTTTAGTTGCACTAGTAAACTCAAGAAAATGGTAAAGTTTTCAGAGACTTCAGCAGACTGTATTCTTTACCCCAGAGGCCGGACATGTCTTCAGAAGTCAGCTCTCAGTAAGTCTTATCATGTAACACATCTTTGCATTTCTTTCAGTAGTGCTGTTGAAGTGATGGTCTGGGAATTTGGGCAGGGTATATTACCTGAGTGAAAAGCTACTATCTCCATCACCTACATACACCTTTATGATATTTAGAAACAAACCTTACAGTCTTCCTAAGGACAATTTTTGTTCTTCTGGGAATAAAAAAATGGAATTTAAAAGTGAGAAATGGGATGATGGAAGTATGCAAATAAAAAGAGGTGCTATCACACCTCTAGTAATAGAAATTCAAATCATCAAAAGCCCATCTCTTGGCAAAAAAGCTAGAAAACACAAGCAAGGACTGAATTAATCACCCCATAACAATATATTTGGACAGTAAACTTGCCTCCTAAAAAGTTTTTTGGCCATTCTTTTCTGCATATTGTAGCAGCCAATGGAACATTAGTTTAGTCCAACTTTTAGAAACTCTTGCTTGGAAGAAATTAAGAAGTTGTTCCTCTGCATGATGAATCGACTTTATTTGCTACATTAAGCAGCACAGCATATACCACAAAGAGAAGTCTGAGGTCTGAAACAGCTAGGATTACATTCCCTCAGGGTCAAGCAACCATGAACCAATGGTTTTACACACTTCCTCACTGGTAAAAAGAAATACCTTAAAGTTACACTAAATCATATGAGGTTAGCTAGCATTCTTTATGCACAAAACAGTATTTGCAGGTTGCTGCATACATTCAACAAGTGGGAAAAATGGAGCGCGAGAAGTATTACAAGCCATTTGTGATGAATGACAGATATTTTGATACATTTAACTATCAACTACTGGCACAAAACCAGACTGCCACGTGAGAAGCAATGCAGATCAAAAAGCTCAACAAGAGTGCATACAAAGCAGCGTGGCTCCTTCACCTTCTGTCAGAACACTTCAGTACCAGCTGCTAACACCCCTGTTCACCAATCTGCACTTAAAGCTCAGGCAGTGAACCCTGTCACGTGTTAAAACTTCCGCAAAAAAACAGAAACAAATTAGTACTGATAAATGCTACATTCTTCTTCAAAATTTCAAAGTACAGAAAGTTCTAACAACTTGTTATTTACCTGAAAGGAAGATACGAAATGCTTCCAGCCAATATAAGCCTGTACACATCTTCTGGGGATTCTCTCAGGTATATTATCTATTTTTGTTGAAAAAGACACACACACAAAAAAATTATTTTAAGATTGATATTAATAACTTCAAGTCATTTGTTTGCTACAGAAGGCATAATTAGTTATCACAGAGCTCAGAAGTGCTGGGAAAGAATGGCACCAAGAACAAACGTATGCAAGTGTGCAACAATAAAACTAACACAAACAATATAAAATACTGGTCAACCTAGAGGAATATATATTTTTAAACAAAATTTATAGATTGTTCAGGAGTTGTTCAACTATAGGCTACAGTGAAAAAGCTTCTGTCTGTCTGGATTCTTCCATGTTTCTATTGCAACTCTGCTAGACCAGTTTGTAGTTGTTTTTTTTTTAAACTAAGCTTGTAAGATGTAAATCAAAACACAAACCCCCATATATCAGCAAAGCTATAAATCATCGGGTCTACAAAACAATGTGTACACTCAGCAGACAAGATTAAAACAGTAATTCGTGTATGTTTTGATTTTCCTACAGCAGTACATTTGCATTATTCCAAATCCTGTACTTCCTCCTTTGCACTAGTGAGGCAGTATCCAGTAACTAAATCCAGATGCCATAAAGGAGAAAAAAAAAAAAAGGAAATCTGTAGCTTCAGAAGCAAAATCCTAGTAACATACTTGAAGCACTACATATCAAACCTTCTACTGTCAAAAACACTCAGAAAAGAATTCACAAAGGACCAACTCACGACAATATCCATACGGTCTTCTGTCACGACAGGCCTGATCCCTCTTGGATAGCCTCTAGCACTAAGGTCTCCTTAAAGAATACCGTAAAACTCCTCTTTTACGCAAACCATGTCTTCCAATACCATCAAACACCATCCCCAGCATGGCCAGAAGATAACAAATATTAATAACAAGCTGTCATTAACAGGTCAATATTCAGTAATTCCAAGTTAGCATTTTTTCTTTACAACTCCATTAACTAAGCTTTAACACACTACAGAAAGTTTTTTTTTCATTAACGTTCAGTAAAATTATTTACATCTCTTATATTAATGACCTTTTTCCTTAGAGGGTTTTTGAAAGTAAGAATCCCTAATGAGTATTAATTAAACATCCCTCAAAAATCTAAGTGTGGCATTTTTGCTTTCTGTTGCTTTTGACATTTTTTTCTTTTAAAAGTTGGCATTGCCTTTCAAATTTTTTTGATGCTGCTGCAAAGACAGTTTGAACAAACGGCTTAACATATCTTCAACATCCTCTCCACACACACACACATGCACGCACACATGCATTCTTGTGACGTGAGAATGGGCGGTTGCTAAAAAGAAAAAACAAACCCAGCTTGAAACATATCCTAAACAGATAGCTAAAACATACATGGCAACAGGTGACTCCTTTCATTTTTCCTCTGATTCGATTACTGTGTTAAGTATTTTCTGAGCATTCTTCCTGTGCAATTAGCAAAACCAAAGAAAAAAACATCTGTCTTGTTTAAGTAGTGTAGTTAAGTAATGAAAACTGCATGTTTTGTGTGTGTGTGCTTTCACTGGGAAGGGGTAAGTGACACTTGCATTTATACCCGCAAGCATACACCCGGAATAGAAAAGAGACTTAAAAAGCCCCCAAAATATCATTGAATAGCTGCTCCTCAGATGCCAGAGTTCACTTCCTATTCTGCAGGCATATTCATTGCCTGAATTGGATACAAAGGTTATGTTCCAAGAAATTTCAAGTTGTGTGGTTTGATACAGTCATACTTTGCATCTTGCAGCACAGTGAACACATATTGCTAGCAACCATACAAATCTAGCACTGCTTGCTTATCAGAAAAAGAGCCCTGCCCCAGGAAAACTTACAAACCAGAGACATGAAACAGCATTAGCAAACAGAAGGTAATTAAACAGCAGAAACAGAGCCAGAAATGAGTCACCTGGAAAAAACTTGGGATTCAGTGCTGTAGGGCTGGGTAATACACAGAGAGTACTACTTGTACAACAGGCAAATAGAAATGCAGCTCATAGTAGCTAATCCTGTAAGCACATGTAGCTCAGAAAGGCCAAGGATTTCTCCTGTATTTCAACTGAGCTTTTATCAGCTTCTTAAAGAAAACAAGCTTCAGTGCAGAAGCATTTGTTTGCAAGTGTAACAGCTGCAAGAGGCAAGTTTTTTCCATAACATTACGTGTTGTATTAAAATAAGTCTAAATAATGTTACAGTATACTGAAACATGTTAGTTCTTAAGCACAGATCCAACTTCTGAAATTACACTACCAGTGAAGTTGCTAGAAACACCATTTTAACATACATGCACGTGTGTATGGAATTTTCTTTACACAGCTATATGAACACTTGCTACATACAAGGACACTTAAAAAAGCCAGCCTGATTTTGACACAAAAATCCAGTGCCTACCATCATTTAGTAGGTACAAAAAGCACACTGCAAGAAGATGGCATTTTTCAAAGTGGACAAGCTACTAAGCAAAAATTCGCAGTACTTCCTGTGCAACTGAAGCAATATACGGTATATTCACTGAAGAAGGAAGCTCTTCGAGCTGGATTTCTCTGAATTTTCTGAAACAAAGAGAGATCCTGCTACACTTCAGCTGTGACACTACTACACACACAAGATACGACATGTGAACAGTTGCAGAGACAGCAGTTGATGAAATGGTCAGATGGTGTTCCCAGTGAAAAGTGGCTTACAAAAAAAATGAGGTTAGTACGAGGATATCTGGACAGGTGCAATGGTGTGGAGCGCTTCAAAAGGGAAGAATGGCGTTCAGTCTCTACACAGAAAGGGAAAGACCATAAACAGATACTTACTTCACAAGGAAAGTATCCTGGCAGTAACACAACACAAGAAGCTGTGACAGTCAAAGTGGAGACAGGATCAGTTTCTGTCACAGCTTAAGACCATACGAGAGCAGCCAGCTGGAAATCTTGGATGCAAGCAAGGCTGGATGGAGGCTGAACAATGGGTGAGCCTGGGTTCAGGTGGTGGGTGAACCAAATTCCAGATATGGAAACAGGTAAGGCTGCAGGAGTGAGGGAAA